AGCTTAACACCTGCCAAAATATTCAAGTATCTGCCTTGTTGATTGACATTAGCCTATTGAGATGTGGTGTTCACAGATATTTTATCTGTTATGCCACATGCCACGTCTCTTTTGCACTGGCTGAATGTTGAGCAGGTTATTTATTATATTTATTTTAGAGATTTTGGTGCTTGTTGCATCCTGCTCGTGGTAACTTCCCTTCACAAAATTGCACCGTTCTGAACTCCCTGCAGTGTGAAGACATCACTTCCTCCTTATGTTACACTGGTTGCGTAAATGCCTCGGTTACCTGTTATTGAAACTTTACACAACTGAAATAAAACAGTATGTAATATATATTGAAACAAAACTGATACCATTGTTAAATATGTTCTATTGAAATAGATGTGATATGATTGATTTACAAGATGTCTGGTGTCATTCCTAAACAGATTAATATTATTAAGATTACTATGAAAGCTAATATTATATTGATTATTCACTGATTGTTATTATGTAATATGTTTGTTTTCAACACTTCAGCAAGCCGCAGTGACTGATAATGTTGGTAATGTTGCTTGTCAATAAAAGTGCGTCTGTCATACTTCATTTTGACTTTATGCTACTCTACTATTATTATCTCTTGTAGTGTTCCTGTAATCAGCAATAGTTAGCTGGTAATCTGTTTATCATATTGCACATCTGCTTCATTATAACGTCTCCAACGGTGATACTTTCAGTTTGTTGGTGGCAACAGCATTTTGCTGTACATTTAATACATACCTATCCTTCCTTTGGATATATATTAGACCATTAGTGGGCGTGTTTTAAATTAATAATGAAGGCTGATTGGTGGCTGTATTGGATGGTTCTATCTTTTTTGCATCAATATAATGATGTATATTGAACTGTCACTTATTTCATTTGCTGGATAAACCAAAAATAGATGTTTCTGTTTTCATATTTTATCCATAAACAGTTCCTCAGTTCAATATATCACAATATATATGTCAATATTTAAATATAAAGATAAGTTTTTGTATGGTTTGTATAGAATCACATGTACCTTGTATAACATTTCTGTAGCGTGTCTGTGGTTCTCAGATGGGTCTGACTGTATTATAATCTGTCATTGTAGTATAATAGTATTTGTTAACTGGTATAGTTATTTTACTGTAAACCTTCATTGTGATGACTTCTACTGTTTCTTGGTATATTTACATTCTTAGAGTAATCTGTCCGATTACTTTTGTCTATAACATAGCAAACAAATTGTCCATCAACAGTCCAAAATATTAGCTACATGTTCAGTTTATAATGATATTTAAAGAAAAAGCAGTATATTATCACATTGGTGCAGTTGAATTAAGAGCATATTTGGCAATTTTTTGCTTGAAAAATAAATAATAATAATAATAAAACAGTTAATCAATTATTAAAATTCTCTGCCTCAGATTACAACCGTATCTTTTGAAAATCGAAAACCAGACTGTTGGAAGAAGAACAAATTTGCAGTAATCTTTTAAGCCTTTAGTCTGTTTTTTCTCGAGCTGCAATCAGAATCAGAATTTTGTTTATTGCCAAGTAGGTTTTTACACCTACGAGGAATGTGTCGTGGTGCAATTGGTGCATCAAATATACAAAAAAAATGAAGTATTTAAAAATATAATGATAAAGATAAATAAGATAAGAAGAGAAAGCG